ATGGGGCAGGAGTAGTGCAAAAGGAAAGTGAACAGAATCATGTGCAGAAGGAAAGTAAGAAATGGAAAATGGATACAGGCATTGGGGTTTGGAAGACAAGACAACTGTGCAGGGCTGCGTTTGAAAACACAATAAACCTGGCTATAGCACTCCCAGTATTGGGTCAAAAAAGCAATGGTTACATTACATAAAGCACTGGTCAAATATTTTAAAACTCTGGCAGTTCCAATTTGATGAAGTGATGTTGATGGCTTAATAGCTACCGGGAGACTTTCTGCCATATTATACAATTTCTGTCATTGCTACTCTTTCTTTATGCTGGATCAAGTTATCACCTGCTTTTCCACACCTGAAGCAACACTGACATAAGAGATACAAGGCCTGCTTTAGCTCCATATTGTGAGATCCAGCTAACTCAACAAGCATGCTGTTACCATAGGTATTGCTGGGTGCTCCAGAAGTGACTAACCAATGTTACTACAAGGGACCAAGACTGAAAAGTAAGAGCCACTCAATAAAGATGCCAAGACTAGGATGAGAAGAGTAGCCTCAGAAAGTGATTGTTTTACAATTACTTCATTAAGGTTGCATAAAGCCAAACACCCAAAAGCCATCTTTCTCCTTTGTAGTATGTTGTTGACCATTTCTATTAAATTGATCCATGCTCTGTACAGTGCACAAGTTACACTTACTCTACCATTTGACTTGTGGTATTATGCTTAAAATATTGTTTACCATATTCTGATTCAGTTATTCTTGTCATAACAAGAGTTCAGTGAATGAAGAAAGGATTCCAGTGAGAAAAAGGTCAGGGATCTTAGCTGATTGCTGCTCTAGAGAGTTCAGGCAACCTTGGGTTCCCATCTTCAAGTTTTGAGGCAAAAATTTAGAAGGCTTTTAAAACATGCTTTTCAGAAATGCTCATTAGTTTTGCATTGCACTTTTTTCTGTGAAAGACCTTAGAGCTGACCTGCTAACTTCTGAGCAGTCACAAACACATCTGAAGTTCAAGGGAGTTTGAATACGGACATAAAAAAATGCTGTATACTGGTAAGTGTGACAAAAAATGATGTCTTAAAGTGATATCAGAAGGGGAAGGAATTTTCCACCCCTATCTTGCCAAATACTAGTATGTAAAACGATGATAAAATAAAATAATGTCTGGACAGCACTCAGTACAGAAAGGAGTTCTACTGGAAAGGGCATAAGGAAGTTAATTATTCTGTTTTCTCAACCAGATGTGAATGGCATTCAATAGATAAATAATGCAACCATGAACTCAAACACAAAATGAGGTATCAAATAACTGCTAATTAACTGAGCACTATTTATCCTGTGTACTAATCAGGGCAGGTTCTTGGCAGGGCAGTAGGGAGTGGGGAAGGAAGAATGCACTTACATAATTAAAGGCAACCAATGGTACGGACAAAGTTTAATAGGCTACTTTCTACCTGTAACATCTGGACATTTGAACACCTAGCTTTGTAACTGCTGTGACATTTCTGGACCAAGGTCTGTCTTCATAGTCACTTAAGTAAGCACAGAGAGACCCGACCAAGTGCAAAATCTAATTCTATCTTTAAAGAAGTTATTTTTTGCTATACTAATTGATTTTTTTTTTTTTCAGTAAGAACTTAAATAGGTGTTACACTTCATTTTTTTCAGGGATGGGTGTCAGTATTTTTTTAATCTGGAAAACATCACAACTCTTGTTTTATCCTGTTTCCAAGAAGCTGACACAAGCTTACAGAAATACATCATGGTGAAATTACAATAGCTATTTTGTTGTAACAATGCTTGTGTGTCAAAAAATATATAGAGAATGCTCTTCCATAGGATTCCTCTACATGTCTTCCAGTTATTTTTTAGTAATTGGTAACCACAGTGCAAAACCCAATGAGAGTCAACAATACATGATATGAAAGACATGTAAGACTACAGATTCACACAGCATTTTACAGTTCTAGCTGCAAAATACCTGCTGGAAATATTAAACTGAAATCATTTGTAAGCTTTCAAAATAGCCTCACAACTGCAACTAAATACTGGTTGATGACTGTCATGCCATAAACAAGACACAAACTGGGATGGTGTCCACTTGCAACCTTGTAAGAGCAAACTAATGATGATAAACCTATTATTCCATTTTAAAAAGAAAAAAAAAATATGATCTAAAGAAACAGAAAAATCACAGTACATTAATTAAATCAGTACATGCTGTTGCAGTAAGGCTTATGTTTAGTAATTTGATTGTTATTGTTAAAACTTTTAATGAACTTGTCCTAAATACAGTGCTTTTTTTTTTTTTTTTTAACAGCAAGATGTCAGTGCATTCACTTTTCCAGGTGTAAGCAGTTTTCACTTAATTAGTGTTGAAAATAAGAGTAAAAACAATCGCATACATGATGCGTACTTCAGAATCCAAAAGTACTGGTCACCATGACTGGCTAGACAGATCAAAACATGAACTGCTAGGAAACTTGACTGTATAACAAATGGAATCTTCTCTGGATTGTGCAGAACCAAAAGAAGAAAGAACAAAGAACTCGACCAGATTAAGCAGCAGGGTATGGCAATCCAAATGTCCTGTCTATGATTGCCACCTCCAGGCTTCCACTTCAGTTTCTCTTCTGGTTTGAAATAGCCAGGATCACGTGTCAGATGAAATAGTGACACTAACCACAAGGTTTTTTGTTGACAATTATCCCTGTTAAAAATCCCCATCAGTGCATTGGTATCCCAGCAATGATTCTGTGTGGAGATGGAGAAACACAACATCTCAGGATGAATTATTAATCTGGTAGTCTTCACAGCAGCCCCTGCAGAGCAGTTCAAAGAGTCATTGGCAGAGCAAAATTGAAACAAAGACTATACCGTACCACACTTCAGCTAACAAAATTACTCCTCTGCTCTTTTGCTGATGATAACTTCATACAGGTTATTTTTGTTTTAATAAAAGACTTTAATTGGCATTTGAGGTGCTCCTCAAACAGATGACCTCACTGCCTTAAAGCACTAACAATGGTATGCACTGTCTGAAAGCACTTAAAGGATTAAATGGAGGCACAACTGTGTGGCCTAATCTACTGCAACCTTCTTTGGCAGTGGAAGAGGTCAGAACCACCTACCAACTTCCCTCTATTTAATTAGTCTTGTGTATTCATGTGAGAAATTTTTACAACAATGACTTGACTTTACACACACACAAAATCACACTGTATTCAGTATTCATAAGCAAATAAAAAAAAAAATTGAGTGATTTTGTTTTCTGTTCAACTTTGGTTCATCTTGGCACTCGTAACTTCATTTCTTCATAGACTCCAAAACAGTGTCAAAATCTAGGTGAAACTTGCCTATTGAAGACAATGGTAAAGTTCCTGCTTAAATTAAAGGTTTTAGCACAAGTCTTGCTGACAGCCTAAGAAAATCCATCGTCATTGGTTGCTTATATTTGGGTACTCACATTACAGGAGAACAAGTAAAGCACTGGATTAAAAATGCGATGTAATAATTCAGTATTCAACACTATACCCAAATTCCTGGTACAATTCCAATAAAATCTATGCCACTGGACTAGAAATGAAACAGATGACAGATACCATAAAACCTTATGGTAAAAAGATAGCGATTTATTTCTATTTTCCATGATCCACACAATGGAAATTAGCTCCATATTTGAGCAGTTCTCAGCTATATGTATGGAAGAGGGCTCACAGTCTGAAGCACCAGGCAACAATAGTACTCCCACTCCCAGATCCAATTCAGTCAACTGAACTTATCTGATCCCAGTCACAGTTTATGCATCCCTGGTAAAGAAACACACTCTGAGACTGAGACCTTCAAAATTAATTCACCTTTGTATTAATTTCTGCACTTGCTGATACCAGTCACTGCCACCAAAAAGATAATTTGAGCACCTATTAGTCATTTGACTTTACAACTTAAGTAAAATCCCAAGGGCAGATGCAATAAATATTTCTGTGAAGGCACAGACTTAAGTCTTCTACAAAACTGTTTATCTTTGTAGAAGAGTTTGCAATTTCCTCTGCATGAGTCAACTGACTGTCTCTGGGCCCAGTTCCTTCCTACATATACACACACAGAGCACAGACCCGCTGTTATCTTTCCACGAATGAGCTGCTGAAGAACTTCAACCTGAAGCTACATATCAGACCGTCAGAAAATGCAAACGTTACTTCCTGAAACTGAACGAGGCAACTGTAATTAGTCCCAAAACTTGAAGTTTGAGAGATGCACAGAAAAAAGATATACTGAGGAGAAGGTTAATGAATACTGAAGAGCAAGAAATGTTAGAACAGTAAATGGTTGGGAAGAAGTCTAAAATTTAGTTTTGAAAGCACTGATCTGATACAGCCAGACTCTGTGTAGATACATTCTTGGCAGTTTTGAAAGCTTTATAGTATGCTTAAGCTTATCTGTGCAAACACAATGCAGCAGGGACATCCAGCTAGGTCACTCTGACTTGGCTAGGGTCTCTCTACCCCTGTGTTCAAAAGAATATTCTTGGTTGCTCATCTGCATCCAAACCCAGGTTAATTTCTGAGTAAAACTCCTGAACTGCAGGATGTCTTTCTCAATCACAAGCTTCTCTGCCATTAAACTGGCACCTTGCGGGTAACAAAGACAGAAGCACAATGTTCTGCTTAGTAGAAATTGGGTCTTACTTGGTAATTATTTTTCACTCTGTTGGATTTATCTAAAGGGATAGATACACTGTCACATTAAGGTATTTTGAAAGTGATTAAATATAAGCCCATAGTTTTGTACAGTTTCCAAGATTTGTAAATTTGGGAAGCAGAGAAATAAGTCTGTGTGAGCTCCTCAGTCCTACCATGAAGCAGTAATGGTGGGTTCACAGGTGCCAGTGGCAGCTGTTAGACTTTCCAAAGCTGCTTCCCTGCAAAAATGAAGCCAGACTACAACAGTTTCATCACACTTCAATGACAAACAACCATACAAGGTTTTGATTTTTAGATTACCTGGTTGAATTATTCCAGTAACAACAGAGAGATACTCCTCAGGTTCCTGATCAGTGGAAATCTCTTTGCTGCCTCCATCTAAGGCCAGTATTTCATACAGAATCTCTGAATTCTCCACCCCACAACGCAGAATCACCACATTATCCGGAGGTTTCAGAACTTGCTCCAGAAAATAACTTCTCTTTCGATTCAGGCAGTTAAGAAGTCCACATGATAGTATCAGCAGTTTACATTTATAGCAGGGTAAAGAGAATAGCTCCTGGTGCTTGAAAGATGAGGCCTCTAGATTGTAGAGTAAGATTCCTCCTTCATTCACTATGTGTCCAAAAAGAGATTTTAAATACAGAGCCCACTCTTCTGCTTCTTGTCCATATATCACAAGGATATCCTTTGTATTTTCTAGAGAGAAGAAAACATTTTAAAATAATTTCAAATGCATTTTGAATCCATTAAAAATATCAGAAAACACATTGTTAGCTTTCCTCCCTTAAAAACTTGAGGTGCTGAAGAAACAGGACAAGTCATTACCTTGAAATGGCAGCCATCTGCTTATTTCTAAACCAAGGCAATAATTTCTGTTAATCAACAGAAATGCTGGTAAAATAGCTCAGAATATTTCATGTTTATAACAGCTTCAACTAGCATTTCAGAACAAATATGGAAATTGCAGCATAGAAAGTGCATTCACTCATTCTGATCAAACCTGTGTTACTAAATGCAATTAAAAAAAAAATTAAAATGCAACAATTAGCTTTTAATGGAAGAAGAATATTTATTTGAACACTTGGCATGACCTGACTTCATTACAAAGAGGATTCAAATGTTTAGGGTACTTTGGCAGTATAGTATTAGGATAGTTTTTTGTAGATCTGTCTTTACTGTCCTTATTCTAACAGAGTCACTATGGTTGGAAAAGACCTTTAAGAGGATCTAGTCTAACCATTATCTAACTTTACCAGGCCACTTCTACTTACAAACCTGACAGACACAAATCTAGAACTACTTTATTTTAGTTCTGCTCTCCCTTTAGGATGTCAACTGTGACGCTAGTAAGAAGACTGATACACTTTTCACAATGTTACTAGGGGGACAGTATGAAATAGGCAAGAGGCACAAGCTGAAATACAACAGCCTCCTTCTGAGCATCAGGAAAAAAAGGATGTTGTAGAATCCTCCTCCTTGGACCTACTCAAAAGATGCCTGGACAGGGTCCTGTTGTACAAGATGGCATCCAGATGTCCCTTCCAATCTCAAACATTTTGTGATTCTGCGAAATCATAAAAAACTGTGATTTGCTGACCAATAAAATATATATTAAAATGTCAGGGTAGCTTAATACTCATGGAGTAGTTCAGAGTCACAGCTCTGTGGAGCAACAACAAGAGACTCAGGAATAGATACAGGTGCTCCACTTTACCTTCACTGAACTTCACTGTGTCTCACAGGTACCTGATGGGTCAAGCAACTTGACAAGCACTTGTCTGCAATACACCAGAGCTCCTTAGCAAGTGAGTATCTGAGCTTCCATCACCCTGTTATCTGCTGGAGGCACAGCACAGCAGGGCACCAGCAATCCAGGGGGTTTCTGGAATGCATTGACAACTATTTCCTTCTACGAGCGGTAGAGGAACCAATGAGAAAAGGTGTTATGCTGGAGCTTGTTCCCACCAACGTGGAGGAGCTAGTGGCTAATGTGAACCTCAAGGGTAGCCTTGGGTGCAGCAGTTATGAAATGCTGGAATTCAAGATCCTTAGAGCAACAAGGAGGGTGCACAGCAAGTTCACTACCTTGGACTTCAGGAGAGTAGACTTTGACCTCTACAGGGATCCAATTGCTAGAGTGCCACAGGATAAAGCTCTGGAGGGGAGAGGGACTCAAGAAAGCTGGCCAATTGTCACAGTTTGGGGTCAGGGCCGCCCCCCAAACTGTAACAGATGCTCTCTGTTAATCCTCTCCCTCCATGCCCAAAAGGGACTCTCCCCCCAAAAGGAAAAGAGAAAGGGAATAAGGGAGAGAGACTTATTGATTAGAAAAGGAAACAGCTTTAATACTACCATCAATAATAATAGTAATAATGATAATAAAATGGTATATGTACAAATATATACAAAATTAGTACCAAACCAAACTCCCCCTGATGGCAATACGTCACCATCACCCCCGGCTGGGGAGCAGCCCTCAGGGAAAGGTCCCAGGCTGGACTCAGCCACAGAAGGCAACGGGGTACAGGGGATGGATTCTAGAAATCAGTTCAGGAACACAGGACTCGGGATCAAAGGCAGAACAGATTAAGTCCTCTTCGGATGCCGGCCACTGCAGGGCAGCCAAAGCAAGGAAGAAGGTGGAAGGGAGAGAGAAGGGCAATGGAAGGGCTTGCCCCTCCTGATCCTTCAGCTTTTACTGGATATGAGGGCTATGGGACGGAATACTGGTGAATCCTGGGGTCAGTTATCCTGCCCGCTCCTCCCCGCAGGTGTGGGGTACTCTCTGCTCCCCTCTGTGTGGGATACAAACATCAGTGGCCTTGGTCTGCATACCAATCCCTGGCAGCAGCTCTAAACATGAAGTCTTATCATTGCTAAAGCCAGGCAGTTTGCTGTTAACTCCAGACAGAGCAGTTAATTAGAAGAGCTTTAGCTGACAAGTTAAAATCACTGGACAGCACCAGCCCTGTTCTACCCCAAACCAGGACGCCAATATTCAAGGACCATCTCCTCCAAGCCCAGGAGGAAGGCATCCCAAAAAAGAGGAAGGAAGGCAAGAACGCCAGGAGGCCCGTGTGGATGAACAAGGAGCTCCTGGACACACTTAGATGCAAAAAGAGAGTCTACAGAGAGTGGAAGCAAGGACAGGTAACATAGGAGTAATACAGAGAAGTTATCCAAACAGCCAGGGATCAGGTTAGGAAAGCTAAAGCCCAGGCAGAATTACATCTAGCCAGATACATCAAGGGTAACAAGAAAAACTTCTAACAGGTATATGCCAGTGATAAAAGGAAGGATGACTATGGAAAAAGAGGAGTTGATCGGTTGGAAGCAACATGGCTTCACCGAGGTCAAATCACACCTGAACAAATTTGGTGGCCTTTTACAATGGAGTTACAGGATTGGTGAACAAGGTAAGACCAAATGATGTCATCTACCTAGACGTGTGCAAAGTATTCAACATTGTCCCACAGGACATCCTGGTCTCCAGATTTGGAGAGACGTGCATTTGTCCAGTGGACCACTCTGTGGATAAGGAATTGGCTGGATGGCCACGCTCAAAGAGCTGCAGTTAATGGCTCTACGTCCAAGTGGAGACCAGTGACAAGTGGCACTCATCAGGGTTCAGCACTGGGACCCGTGCTGTCTAACATCATTGTTGACAACATGGGCAGCAGAACAGAGTGCACCCCCAGCAAGCCTGCAGAGGCCACTGAACTGTATGATGCTGTTGACACACTGGAGGGAAGAGATACCATCCAGAGGGACAGGTAGGCCCATGGCAACCTCATGAAGTTCAACAAGGCCATGTGCAAGGTCCTGCACCTGGGTCAGGACAAATACAGGTTGGACAGAGTATGGCTTGAGAGCAGTCCTGAGGAGAAAGACTTGGGGGTGCTGGTTGATGAAAAGTTCAACATTTGCCAATAACATGTGAGTGCAGCCCAGAAAGCCAAACCTATCCTGGGCTGCATCTAAAGAAGAGTGGGCAGCAGGTTGAAGATGATTCTCTCCCTCTACTCTGCTCTCATGGAACCCCACCTGGAGTACTGCATCCAGCTCTAGAGGCCCAAAACAAGGAGGACACGGATCTGTTGGCTACGAAGATGATCAGAGGGCTGGAACACATCTCCTGTGAGGACAGCCTTAAAGAGTTTGGGTGGTTCAGCCTGAAGAAAAGGATGTCAGGAGACCTTATTGAAGCTTTCCAGTATCTGAAGGGAGCCTACAGGAAAGCTGCAGAGAAACTTTAGACAAGGGCTTGTAGTGATAGGATGAGGGGTGATGGCTTCAAAGTGGAAGAGGGTAGATTTACATTAGATGTAAGGAAGAAGTTCTTCACTGTGAGGGTGATGAGACAGTGGAATAGGTTGCCCAGGGAAGCTGTGGATGCTCTATCACTGGAAGTGTTCCAAGAGCAGGTTTGATGGGGCCTTCTGCAACCTAGTCTAGTGGGACGTGTCCCTGCCCACACAACGGGGGTTGGAACTAGATGATCTCAAGGCGCCTTCCAACTCAAACTATTCTGTAATTCTATGATTCTTCTTTGTGAACATCAAGAGATATGGAAGCGGTATAATGTAATAAGTAAATAAGTATAAATGTTTCTTGGCACACACAGGACCTGGATAGTGGGATACACTGTTGAAAGAATGGTACATATGTAGCTAAGGAGAAAAAAAAATACCTTCAAGGATTCCACGTGAGTCCTTGCACAAAAGAAGAAACTGAACCTAGATCAGTCCAGGATTGCTGCTTTAATTATTTGCCTTCTCTTGTTTTTAGAAGAAATTAATTTCTAAGTTTTGTTCATTCAGTCTTTACTCAGGAGACATTTCAAAGTTTACCCAGCTGAAGGCTGACTGAAACTTTTTACAATAGGCACACTATAGCTTAGTCTCTGGAGCTCTTTTATATTTCTACAGACTGCTTGGAGGACAGTTGCCATTTTTTAAACATTTGTGAATACTCATCTGTTCACAAAGTTTTCTGTCATCAGAAATTATTTAGGACCATGTTCAGTATGGTAGTGGATGATGATATTTCAAGATGACTGACCCCGACCAATACATTAGAGCAATGTAATATTTGTCAAGATGTATTTGGAAAGGTGACTGCTATGTTTTCCACAGTAAAAGCATTCTGAAAAATGCCTGTTTCTGCTGAAATGCTGACATTCAGTTGTAAAACTAAATTATAGTGTATATTTCATTTAACTCAGAGCAAAGTTATGTGTTTTATGACACTAGGATAAGAAACCTACTTGCTGCAATGTTATTTGTTTTCAGACTCATTTGATTTTCCATAACTCTCACAGGAAAAAAAAAAAAAAGTAGAAACAAAAAGCTATGAAACTTGCTGCAGTTTCAGAAGACAAAATCACATTAACAGAGCTGGAAGGTAAAAAGCTTTTTCAGTCTGACCACACCATTTTGTATCACAGGAAATGGAATCATCAAGCACCTTCTGATTCCAGTCCTCTTTCACTAAAAATACTGTAGTGGTCCTTTAAAAAATACATATTTAAAGAGGATGCTTAATCCATGAGCATTTAAGAATTTGTTCTTCACATGTTGTTTGAATTTGCTTAGTTTCAACTTTGAGGCACAGAATATGATTTTGTCTTTTTCTGCAAACTTAAAGACATATCTGCTCACAGAACTCTCCTCTTTAAGGTCTCCAGATTCCCATGAAGTTACTCTTAGCCTTGCCTTCATGACAGTTTGGAAACTGGGATTATTACTTTTCCCACTACAAGAAAGGCTTTGTAGAACTCCTACCATTCTTTCTGCACTTCTGTGAACTCTCCTGCCTTTTCAAAATACTTCTTGAGGAACCCAAACCTGTATACAGGGTAGAAGTTCCTTGATACAGTATATGACAAGAATAAAATAATCTACCTGAGACTACCTTTGATATGCATGGAAGGTTCACATTCACCTCTTAGGTTAAAAGGTCTTATTTTAAGTTAATGCTCAGCTGTATTTCCTTCTATTATGACAGGCTTGAGCAAGGAAATAGGTAAGTGGAATTGCAGGGAGGGATAAAAAAAGCACATTTAAGTTGAATGGTAAAAACATTTTTTCATACCCTCACGGAATCTTAGTGTCCTTACTGGGAAGAAGAGAGATCTGCTGGTGGTGCCTTCCACAGTACCCACTTGACCAGGAGCCTAAGTTTCCTCTCTATGTAGGAGAGCACTGGTAAAGAATGGTGCACAACCAAGTCTCATCCCTGTGCAGACTGGAAGCACCCAGAAGGCATCCCCATATCCCAGAATAGGAAAGAACTGCTGGACCCAAGCATTCAGGCACAGTTGAAGAGCTCCCCATGTGCTGGGCATGGAGGAACATATCTTGTAGAAATAATATAGAAATATTCTTAGAGAGATGACATTACACAATAATCATAATAAAAATATACCTAAAGTATAAAGTTCACCTCTATGCAAATGGACAGTACAAGGCTTAAGTACTTAAGAAATTGTAAAGAGAAAAGTGAGGAAGCTGCATTGAAATGATAAAAGAAGATAAAGCAATTCTATTTCTATATGGTTTATCTGCACATAAGTCTGTAGCTTTGATCTTAGATGTGTGAATGAGAAAGGGGGTTTAAATGCTTATCGAAGGCTTGACTGCATTTCTTTTTAACTACATTGATTTTTATGTGTGAGAAAAAGTTTTATTTGTATAAGAAAAGAAAGTGAAATATATTTAACATCACACTTGATGGAAGAAAGGCTCTGCAACATACATCTCATAAAACTTTAATTTAAAATGGCTGCCATATTTAATTTGTCTTTTCTATCTATATACAGAAGGAATAGTCAACGGTTGAGGAGAGGTACAAGTGAGGTGTTTCATGTTGCAGTTTGGTGCAATGCTTATGGGCCTGAAGAAAGCAGCTAGTGCTATCAGGTTACCTGTGGGAAACCAAATGTGGGTTTGTTTTGAATTACATGCTTGTATTTTTTTCCTGCCATTGATCTGCCTTCTAGATCAAGAGTTAACTTTGATATAAAGCATGACTGCAAGACCTGCATCTTATTTCCCCAAAATTGTATTAAAAGGTGAAACATCACTATTTTGAAATGCTTGCCTGAATTTAACCATAGAGACAAAGTTTACCCTAGGGCTAGTTATGAAGTTCCCTATCTAAAATCTACTCATTGCGCCATTAATTTTTTCCTGTTACACAAGGTTTTCATCTTCAGAAATTTTACTAAGATGTAGATGCTTGAATGCAGCTTACTTGAAAATTAAAGCTCACCCAAAACTCTGCATTCAAAACAGTATAATTTTAACTTGAAGCAACAAAGGCTGCAATCTACTTTTATTGCAACCCTATCCAGTACTGAATACACAGTAACAAATGCTTAAATTTTCAACTGTTTTTCCCCCCTTCATTATTTTCATCTCTCACTGAATACTTCTTTGAAGTTACTGCACTTGGAATATAATGTAAGTTGAGATTAATTTTGTTCCCTTGAAAGTTAATGTAATAAAAACTATCATAACCTGATAAAATTAAGCCATGCTTCAACCCCTTCTACTTGGAAAATGACTCAAAGGTAGAAAAAAAATGTATTACTAGTTCAGCAGTAAGAAGTAGCAAGAGAATTTGTGCAGTCATCCATAACCTGATATGGTTCTTCTGACAAGCAAGACTATTCTCTAGTTAGTAGTGCATGGTTGCCCAAAAAAGCACATCTTGTGAAAAATGCCACCTGATGCCTTCTTCGAAAAGACCTGCAGAATCTTAGGACAAACAAATGGGACGAAAACATGACTGCAGACTGGTGTGACCTATGAGGACAGACAGAGAGTTGGGGCTGTTCAGTCTGGAGAAGAGAAGGCTCCGAGGTGACCTTATTGTGGCCTTCCAGTATCTTAAGGGGGCCTACAAGAAAGCTGGGGAGGGACTTTTTAGGATATTGGGTAGTGACAGGACTAAGGGGAATGGGGCAAAGCTGGAAATGGGCAGATTCAGACTGGACATGAGGAAGA